ATGTAGAGTATATATTACTATTTTATTTATTTTTAAACCAAATAAACTGTACTTTCACATAATCTTTTGTTTCTGCCCTTTTATGCTGGCGATGACTAACAATTGTCATCGAAGGCTTGTCCTCACCTCCCCAGAGCGCCCGCCCCGAGCTTGTGGCGCTGAGAGCTTTTACACTTGGTTCGGTCAGCCTACATGACAGTCGGGAGGGAGCCTGCTTGTATTTAGGGAAACCAGCGGCCCAGCTCAAATGCCATCTCCCCAGGGATGCCCCTCTTTGTCTTGCCAACTGAGGACAAGTGCCCCCTCAGCACTTTCCTTGGAATTCTGTCCCGTCCTCACTGCCAGCCCCAGCTAGGCGCCAGGTGCGCTGTGAGGAGGAGAGGAGCCAGGGCCCTGCCCTCCTGGGGCTTCTGGTCTCACGGCTCCAACAGACTCAGAGCAAACAGTCCTGGGAGAAAACACACTGGAGAGCTGGAGGAGGTTGTCAGAGTAGAACACAGGGTGGCTACTTTAGGGATCTGGGAAGGCTTTTCTGGGGGAGGCAGGGAGGAGGAGGAGGAGGAGTCAGAACAGGAGGAAGAGGAGGAGGGGGAGTGGGGCGAGGGAGGCTTGTTCCCCAGGAGAAGAGCTTCCAGAAGAGGGAACAGTCCATGCAAAGGCCCTGGGGTGAAGGGAAGCAGGGCACATTGGAGGGGACTCAGCCCTGGGAGGTGGGGGCAGGTGGCCCTTGGGGACAAAATGTCGGACAAACTCCTTTGCCAACCCTGAGGGCAGCCCCCATACCTCGCCACGATCTCTGGCTGGCGAGACAGCTCCATCACCGTGAACGCCAAGTGGTTGGCAGAGGTCTCGTGACCTGCGGGAAAGGAGGAGAGCGACTGCTCCACGTGGGGCTGAGGGAGCCGCCGCCCCCGCGGGCCCTGCCTCGGTGCCGCAAGGCCGAGACGTGAAGGAGACGGTGTGTCTGCCTCCACGTCCCCCGTGCCAGCTAGTGTGGTCAAGTGCATGGTGTCAGTCCTCTGTATCAGGCTGTCACGCTCTAAAAGCGTGCTAAGCTTCCTTCCCTATCCTTTGGGCCTCACCTGGCCTGGAGGGGTGCTCACCTCCATTTTGCAGAAGAAAACACTAAGGCCGAGAGGGACGGGTCTCTCCAGCCACAGGGCAGGGAGAGCAGAGCCAGGACTCAACCCATAGCCTGTGAGCCCAGGGCCTGCCTGCCTCCCTCGCAGGCCGCAGGTGCCTGCCCACAGCCCTCCACAGCCCTGGGCCTGATGAGGTGGCCTCCCCGAGGAAGGGAGGCCAGGGCATCGTTTCAGGAGGGCCCATTTGAGTTCTGGCAGGATCTGGCCAAGCTGGTAGAGACGAAACCCCCTAGGTGGCCTGGAGGAACAGTGTTGTAAAGGAGTAGGGGGTTTAGCAGGTGGCAACCACTCTCAGGCCAGCGCCTGGGGGTTGGGTGGGGGCTTTGTTTGGGGTTTTTTGGGGGGGTGGCCCTTCCCGGGGGGGAGTTGCTGGAAGTGAGGCCCAGCTGCCCCCAGGGCTGGAAGGCGGGGACCAGTGTCACAGCCAGGACAGCCAGGAGGGAGGGGGTGGGGGAACAGGGCAGCCCCGGCCCTGGCTCTGCACTGCAAGCTGTGCCTCTAGCAGGGCGCTTCCCTCTTAGGCCTCAGTTTCCTCACAGGCAAAGGGAGGGAGAGATGCAACCCTCCCTGCCCTCCCCCAGCTCCCTGTAGCATCTGGCACAGGGCTCGGGGACGGGCTGTGAGGACATGAGGCGGATTATAAAATCCTCTTTGGGAAGCTGGATAGATGCTTGCAGAGCACCTCAAGGCTCCCATTTTACAGACGAGGAGACTGAGGCCGGGTCTGTCCGGGACCTGGGTTCCCGGCTGCAGGAATGAAGGCCGGCCGGTCGTTCTGTGGCTACTTTCTATCCTGCGCAGGGAACAGAGCCCTGCAGCCTTGCTCCAACGCAGACCATTTCTGAGTCTCCTGGGGTATCTGTGAGTGCCTCTCCCACCCGGGGGGCCTTCTCCATGCCACACCTGCGGACCGCTGTCTGTCCGTCTACCTCCGCCATTAGACTGTCGGCTGTCCCTCATCTCATTCCCCTCTGTCTCCCTAGTGCCGGGTCTTCACCCACGTGTTCACTGACGTCACCCGGTCTTTAGGGGCGCCTACGCACGGCCCTGGGAATGCACAGTGAGCAAAGCACCTGGACCCCTGGCTCACCGAGCGCACAATCTGGCAGGGACTTGGACCTCATCGGATTGCCACAAACAAATATGCAGCTTAGCACTGAAAGACATGTGGGCAGAGGGGCCAGCTGGGGGCCGGGGCCACCTGTGGTCCCCAAGGAGGAAGCATCTGAGGGCTCGCTGGAGGCTGAGGAGTTTTCTGGGGGTTGAAGGATGCTCAAGAAACACTTTGAGCAAATGGACGGCGTCGCTTAGCGCTCCTTGTCGTGTCAGACTAAGGAAGGCTTCTCACAAATTCTGAGTGCGCGGGGGGCCTGCGTTCACACGGCCGGGCTCTCCCGAGCTGGAAGAGCCAGCTTCACAGCCCCGTCCCAGCTCGGAGGCCACCAGCACAGCCCAGAGGGGGCTTCTGCGCCCCTCACCCCAGCCCCCCGGCCCTGCCGCAGAACTCCGCTCAGATGGCCCGGACCATCTCCCGGAGGCAGGAGATCTGAGTGACCCGTGGTTCCCACACTCCTGCAAAGCCCTGAGCCCTTGTCACCGCTGAAGCTACAGACCAGCGATGAAGAAGGTGACGAAGTTGTCCAGCAGAATCTCGTCGTCCTGGGCCCCCTCTTCAGCTGAAAGACAAGGACAGCCTCAGTTCCCAGCCATCTCTGCTCCCTCGCCCCACAGCTCATGCAAGAACCAACCGCCTTCTCCTCTCAAGCCAGACAGGGACGACGGAGTCAACGGTGCTCAGTCTCCTGCCGGGACCATCCCGTGCCCACCTGGCCCTCCCAAACCCCGGAGGGGAGCCCTCGCACCTTTGAGAATCTGTGTGAGGATGTCGGCTGGGACGTCCTCGCCCCTCTTCAGGGCCTCCCGGCGGCGCTGGACCCAGTCCTTGCCAACCTGGCGCAGAAAGCGGATGCTCTCCCGGATCTCACGGAGCTGCTTCCTCTTCCCCGGCATAAACTGAGCAAGATATTCAGCTCAAGATGGTCGGCTGAACGCGTGTGCTTCCCTCTCCCTCTCCCCCACTACCGAAATGACTTTAGAAACCCACAGCAGCACTGGCAAGCTGGGAGGTCAGAAGAATGTAAGAAAATTCTAGAAAAGATAAGGCAGCCAGGGAGACTAGATCAACATGGCAGACTGAGCCCAAGCATCGGCTTCCCCTTTGTGCACCAAATCCTTAGACACGATGGGAAAGACGCCTTCAAACAGCCATGGAGTGAGCCATGGGAGATAAGAGGACCCTGGAGGACGGAGGCAGTTAGGAGGGCATCGCAGGAGGAAATCACAGCCAGAGGGAATGGAATCAGCTGCCAAAAAATAAAAAAAAAAAAACGGGCAACATGGAAGGCTGCAAGTTCAGAGGCTAAAGTCTCCGGGAATAGGAGGATGGCCCTGGGACGAACTCAAGTTCCACCTGTCCCCTTTCCTCATGCCTAGAACAAAGAGGATAGCGGGGCCTACAACAGCCAGCTAGCTAGCTAGCTAGCTATCGATCTATCTATATTAACTGATACATAATATTGTACATATTTATAGGGTACGTGTGATATTTTGATACACGAATATGATGTGTAATGATCTAATCAGGGTATTTATTAATGAGATCCCCATTACCTCAAACATTTATCACTTCTTTGTGTCGGAAACATTTCATGCTGACTCTCACCAACCCCGAACAGCCCAGTTGAAGGTGGAATATTCCGACCTTGAAATCTCGAAAGCTGTCCCGCAGCACCTGCTCTGAAACAGGCACATTCCTCGATCTTGAGCAAGAAATGGTCTCCCTGCCCTTCTTTTTTTTTGGGGGGGGACAAAGTCTCACTCTTTTGCCCAGGCTGGAGTGAGTGCCGTGGCGTCAGCCTAACTCACAGCAACCTCAAACTCCTGGGCTCAAGCGATCCTTCTGCCTCAGCCTCCCGAGTAGCTGGGACTACATGCATGCACCACCATGCCCAGCTAATGTTTTCTATATATTTTTAGTTGTCCAATTAATTTCTTTCTATTTTTAGTAGAGACGAGGTCTCGCTCTTGCTCAGGCTGGTTTCGAACTCCTGAGCTCAAACAATCCGCCCACCTCGGCCTCCCAGAGAGGTAGGATTACAGGCGTGAGCCACCGCGCCCGGAGGATTGCTTTCTTGATTTTGTTTTCAGCTACTTAGTTATTGTTGTATAGAAATGCTACTGATTGTTGTATGTTGATTTTGCACCCTACAACTTTACTGAATTTGTTTATCAGTTCTAGGAGTTTTTAGATTTTTCTATACATAAGATCATGTCATCTGCAAAGAGGGCAATTTGACTTCCTCTATTCCAATTTGGATGCCTTTTATTTCTTTCTCTTGTCTGATTGCTCTGGCTAGAACTCCCACTACTATGTTGAAAAAGAGTGGTAAAAGTGGGCATCCTTATCTTGCTCCAGTTCTTAGAGGAAAGACTTTCAGCTTTCCGCCATTCAGTGTGATGTTAGCTGTGGGTTTGTCATATATGGCTTTCTTATGTTGAGGTATGTTCATTCTATGCTAAATTGTTGAGAGTTTTTATCATGAACGGATGTTAAATTTTATCAAATACTTTTTCTGCATCTATTGAGACGATCACGTGGTTTTTGCCCTTCATTCTGTTGAAGTGATGTATCACATTTATTGACTTGTGCATGTTAAACCACCCTGGCATCCCTGGGATAAATCCCACTTGATCATGGTGAATTATCTTTTTGATGTGTTGTTGGATTATGTTTGCTAGTACTTTGTCGAGGATTTTTGTATCAGTTTTCACAAGGAATATTGGCCTGTAGTTTTCTTTTTTTATGTGTCTTTGTCTTATTTTGGTACCAGGTAATGCTGGTCTTGTAGAATGGGTTAGGAAGAATTCCTTCCTCTTTAATTTTTTGGAAGAGTTGAAAAGAATTGGTGCTCTTCTTTATAAGTTTGATGGAATTCAGCAGCAAAGCCATCCAGTCCTGGGCTTTTCTTTGTCAGGAGACATTTTATTACTGTTTCGATCTCATTACTCATTACTGATCTGTTTAGGTTTCTATTTCTTCCTAGTTCAATCTTGGTAGGTCGTATGTGTCCAGGAATTTATCTATTTCCTCTAAGTTTTCCAATTTATTAGTATATAGTTGTTCACAATAGATCTATCTCTAAAGATCCTTTGTATTTTGGTGGTATCAGTCATAATGTCTCCTTTTTCATTTCTGATTTTTCAAATTTGGCTTTTCTCTTTTTCTTGGTTAGTCTAGCAGTTCATCAATTTTACCTTTTCAAAAAACCAACTTTTCATTTCATTGATCCTTTGTACTTTCTTTTAGTCTCTATTTCATTTAGTTCTGCTCTGATCTTTGTCATTTCTTTCCTTCTGTTAATTTGGGGTTTGGTTTGTTCTTGCCTTTCTGGTTCTTTGAGGTGCATTGCTAGGTTGTTTATTTGAAATCACTTACTCTTTCGATGTAGGAGTTCATTGCTATAAACTTTCCTCTTAGCACTGCTTTGTATCCCACAGGTTTCAGTATGTCGTTTTTTCATTGAAATTAAAGGGTTAATTTGATCAGGTCTGCCTGTCCTGCTTGCTTTTTGTCAATTGTTTTTTTTTTTTTTTCCTTTTTCTCTGAAGCTGAAGCCTGCCATAGCTGAAGGCCACACCGCCGAACGCTGAAACGCTGAAACTTAACCATCACTGACTACTTTATAGAAAACATTCATAAGTCACCATGGTAATGGTTGCTTCAGCTGTTTTTTAGGAACTTGGGCCAGCTCCTATCCACCTCAAACCAGTTGAAACCACCAACCCTTCAAGTGGGCCTGCACAAGTGCCCAAGAGATGGTCTTTTCATGTCAAAGGGCCAAAAACTGCACCCTCAGATCATGTTTATGCCACCATTTTCTGTATATATGTCCTATGAAATGACATGAACCCTGACTATGGTCACATAGAATAAATCTGTTACTTCAATTTTCCCCACTGCCAATCACCTTTCCCCATGCCTCAGACCACCCTACTTCTCCAACCCATAAATATCCCGAACTTTTATCTTTGGGAAGGTGAATTTGAGAGCTGTTCTCCTACCTCCTCACTTTTCAGCCATAAGATCGAATATTTTTGTTTGTTTAGTTTGGTTTTTTGTTTGTTTGTTTTTGAGACAGGGTCTTGCTCTGTTGCCCAGACTACAATGCAGTGGCATCAGCCTAGCTCACTGCAACCTCAAACTCCTGGGCTCAACCGATCCTCTTGCCTGAGCCTCCTCAGTAGCTGAAACTACAGGTGCATGCCACCACGCCTGGCTGATAAATCTTTTCTCTTTTGCAAAACCCATGTCACAGTGATTGACTTATTGCACACAGGCAGTATAGACCTGGACCTGGTTGGTAACACCATTTTCGTTTGTTTCAAGAAATTTTTTTATTTTCTTCTTGATTTCTTCATCGACACAATGGTTGTTCAGGAACATGTTGTTTAATTTCCATGTATTTATACAGTTTCCAAAGTTCTCTTGCTATTGATTTCTAATTTTATTCCACTGTGGTCTGAGAAAACACTTGATATGATTCCAATTTTTTAAAAACTTGTTGAGACTTGTTTGTGGCCTAACATATGTTCTATCCTGGAAAATGTTCTATGTGCTGATGAGAAGAATATATATTCTTCAGCTGTTGGATGAAATGTTCTACAAATGTCTGTTAGGTCCATTTGGTCTAAATTGCAGTTTAAATCCAATGTTTTTTTGTTTAGATGATCTATCTAATGCTGAGAGTGGGCTGTTGAAGTCCCTATTATTGTATTGAAGTTGACTCCTTCTTTAGATCCAATAATATTTGCCCTATATATCTGGATGCTCCAGTATTGGGTGCATATATCTTTAGAATTATTTTATCTTCTTGCTGAATTCCTCCCTTTATTGTTACATAATGACCATCTTTGTTTCTTTTTACAGTTTTTTACTTAGAGTCTGTTTTATCTGATGTAGTAATAGCTACTCCTGCTTGCTTCTGCTTTCTGTTTGCATGGAATATTTTTTCCATCCCTTCACTTTCAGTCTATATGTGTCTTTACAGGTGAAGTGGGTTTCTTGTAGGCTGCATATAGTTGGGTCACCTTTTAAATCCATTCAGCCAGTCTATATCTTTTATGTGGGGAAATATATTCTGTTTACATTCAAGGTTATTATTGATAGGTAAGGACTTATTGCAGTCATTTTATTCATTGTTTTCTGGTTGTTTTTGTATATCTTTGTTCCTTTCTTCTTCTCTTATTGTTTATTATTGCAGTTTGGTGGTTTTCTATAATGGTAATGTTTGAGTCTTTTCTCTTTGTCATTTGTGTATCTGCTCTATTAATGAATTTTATACTTTCGTATGTTTTCACGATGGTAGATATCATACTTTCACTTCTAGATATAGGACTCCCTTAAGAATTTCTTGGAGGCCAGTCTAGTGGTGATGAATTCCCTCATTTTTTGCTTGAAGGATAGCTTTGCTGGGTATAGTATTCTTGTCTAACAGTTATTTTATTTTTCTTTCAGCACATTGAATATATCATATCATTCTCTCCTGGCCTGTAAGATTTCTGCTGAGAAATACACTCTTACTTTGATGAAGATTCCTTTACCTATGACTTGATGTGGGTTTTTTTCCCCCTGTTTTTAGATTCTCTCTTTGACTTTTGACAGTTTGA